CCCCCCCCCCCCCCCCCGTTTCTTAACCTCCCCTTTCTGATATTCTTTCTTCATTCACAACAGTTGGAAAGCTTTGTGCTGCAGGGCTTTGGACTACATCATGCAGCCAAAAATGCCTAACTTATTGTGCTTATTTCTCCTTCAGACTAAAGCAAACCTGGTAACTCCAAGGAATGGGGAGCCACTCATTGCTGCTATTCAGGATTTTTTAACAGGTGCGAGTGTGAAATTCATGAGAAATAAATTTCTGACTCTGGAACATGGGAATTCTCATTCACAGTGATTCATGTGATGACTTGAAAAGCTATTTAATTGCCTGTGTTTAATTATATTTGTTTACTAAGTTTGCTCATGAACCTGTTTAAGGTATTTTTAATTGTTGATTAAAAATACATTGATTCATCAAATGCTCCCAGCTCCCACCATGGGGCATTTTCTAGGCCTAATGCCTGATGGCCTAGAATCTGTCCCCGTATCAGGGACTCAGCAGTGTGCAAAACAAAGACACTTTACTGAGCTTAGATTCTAGTTGGAGGAGGGAGCCAATAAGCACTACCTACTTAATTCATTGTGTTGGTTATGATTGTATTTTAAAATTGAAAGCATATGGATTTCTCTAATTTCAATCCTGTTCTTTGTTTTGTGCTGGTTCTAACACTCTTAGGTGCCTATCTCCTCACTCTCAAGGACACTTTCTTCGACAGAGCCAAGGCTTGTCAAATCATTGCTTCAATATTGGTTGGCAAGGATGAGAAAATTAAAGTTCGTCTTCCACATCCTACAATACTGAAGGTGCGTGTAGGCTGGGCACAGTGTCACATACCTGTTCTCCCAGCATCTTGGAGGATTGAGGCAGGAGAATCTTAAGTTTGGTGCCAGCCTAGGCAACTTAGTGAGATCCTATCTCAAAATAAAATAAAAAGGGTGGAGTTGTGGCTCTATGGTAGAAGACCTCTAGATTCAATCCCCAATACCACCATTAAATTAAAAAAATAAGTAAAGGTGCTTATAGTAGTTACGTGTCCATACACAAGTACATGTGTGTCTGTGCAGAACATCTGATAGAGTAAGTGTAACTGTGTTGGTACCAGGCTTGGTGTGGAATCATTGAACCATCTTGCCTTATGTGAAAGGTGGTAAGACCAGGCTCAGCCCCTCATCTCTGGYTTCCTTTCCATCCCTAGCCTGTCACCCTGTGGACCGGAAAACAGATCTTCAGTGTCATCCTCAGACCTAGTGATGACAATCCAGTGAGGGCCAACCTCCGAACCAAGGGCAAGCAGTACTGTGGCAAGGGGGAAGATCTCTGTGTCAATGATTCCTGTGAGTTGAAAGAACTGGGGGTGGCCGGGGGGAGCAGACATATGGCAGAAAAGCAGGTGGCCAGAAATTAACTTTACCAGGTACTTTCCCTTAGCCAGCAATTCCAATGTTTCTCCAAAGGCCTCTAGCAGGAAGTTGACGCTTCAGGAAGAAGCAGGTCCTTCTTCTCTCATATGTAATTCCCCATTTCTCTAGAGATCATGTAGATGTGTAATCGAGTGGTTAGTATTCTTCTCTAAATGAATAGTTTTTGTCAGTTAATGCAATTTGTCTTCTATTTTGCCTTCTTTTGAACTGGGGGAACATCAACAAGGGTCCATTATTGTGGTGGTTTTATGGTACTAGGGACTGAACCTGCTCTACTTCTGAGCTACATCCCTTGCCTTTTTTATTTTTTCATTTTGAGGCAGGGTGTTGCTGAGTTGCAAATGTTGGCCTCAAACTTGCAATCCTCCTGTCTCAGCCTCCTGATAGCTAGGATTACAAGTAGGGTCTCATTACTTAAGGCATATAATTTATTATTTTGTGTCCAAAAGTAAAACTAAGAAGTATAAGTTTTCTTTATTTACTTATTTATTTGGTGCTGGAGATCTAACCCAGGGCCTCACATATGCTAGGCAAATACTTCTTTACCACTGAGCTATATCCCAAGACTAATTTTTTTTTTCCTGTCTCATCTTCTCAGCAAAGTGTTTTGATAACATGAAGATCAGATACAGCAGGATTTAGTTGCAAGTCACCTGAGTCTTCCTAAAACTGCTACATTCCAAAGCATGATGGAAGGACCAGTGTCATAAAACTAGCATCCATGGCTTGCTTTCTGGTGCAAGCTGCTTTGCTCACCCCAGGCCACTCAAAAACAGCTCCCCAGTAGACTACTTACAGTTACACTGATTTAGAATGGACTTTGCTAACAAGGCCTCATGTCTAAAAATGACTGTCCAGGATTCTGAACTGAAGAAGTGGATTGTAAAGGTTCTCTGAAGGTCAAGATTTATACTGTATTTTGAAGGACATTGATCTTCCTCTGGTTTAGTCCCTTGAAAAAGTACTTTGTGGGAGTGTGGCTCCGTGGTAAAGTGGGTACTTAGCATGCACATGTGGGCAGCCTTGGGTTCAATCCCAGGTGCCAAAAAGAAAAACATACRCATATACACACACAGAGCTTTTAAAGATACTTTGGCTTCTTGTTCTATTTTTTTAATTTTTTGCATGCTAGTGATCAAACAGTGCATCATGCATGCTAAGCACCTGCTCTACCACTGAGCTACACCCTCAGGCTAGCTTTATATTTTAGATTGTATTTTGTTGCTTTCTAGATTTAAATTTCTTTTCTTTTTCCTTTTTGGAGTGTGGGCTGTTTACAGTGATACTGCTGTTAGTTTTCAGTAGCAACTGCCTCAAATTCATTATGGAATGTGATAAATAATCATTTGTCTAAATGCATAATCAGTATTATTGTTCCAGATGTCACAATCCAGAACAGTGAGTTGATGAGTGGCAGCATGGACAAAGGAACACTGGGATCGGGATCCAAGAATAATATTTTCTACATTTTGCTGCGAGACTGGGGGCAGAATGAAGCTGCTGATGCTATGTCCCGGCTTGCCAGGCTGGCCCCTGTGTACCTGTGTGAGTGTCTCAGCATTCTCTTGTTATTGCTACAGTGATTAAGAGTTTTAGGGTTTATGATAGTTTATCCTTTATAGTTGGTTCATCACACACACATACACACAGAGAAAATGATGCTTGTTCCATACCAGAGTATGAGTGCATTTATTAATGAAATTGACTAGTTTGTAGATTTAAATCTGCTTTTCTCTCTGCAAAATCTGCAGTCACTCCCTCTTGCCTACAGACAGGTTTGTATTATATAAAAGGCCTTCATGGGCTGCCTCAAAGTACCTTGGAAGCACTGTTTTCCAGGCCTCCCAGGATTCAGCCTAAGCCCATGATTGAGTATTGCTCTTACACTCAATAGTTGCCTTTGTTTGTACATGCTTTGAGCATGGCATGTGTCGAATGATTTTTTTCATGCCCCCCCCCCAAAAAAAAATCCCTATGCTGCTGATCTAATTGATTCTTTGTCTGGATATCAAATTACAGAATGAAAATTAGTTTCCCTTAGTTTTGAAGGTATTGCTCCGTCTTTTTTTTTTTTTTTTTTTTTTTTTTTTTTGAGACAGGGTCTCAGTAAGTTGTAGTGGCTTTGAACTTGCAATCCTCCTGCCTCAGCCTCCTATGTTATTGGGATTATAGGTGTATGCCACAACTGAGTTCACTTGTTGTTCTCTGGGAGTGATTTCTGAAAATACAAGGGCAAACAGGTTTCAGCCATGCTATCTTAGAGCCTGCTCTTTAGTATTAAATATCACTCACTCTACTTTATGTTATAGTGGAGAACATTGCATTCCCCAAGGGATCATAAGGTCTGAGAGAAGAGTAAGTGAGTCTTTGTTATTTTATTTAACTCTCTAGGGGCTGAGATAGGAAGCTGTTCTTTGATTGAATTGTGGCAAATTTTTGTGAGATTTTTTTGGTTTGTTTATGGAACTGGGTATCAAACCCAGGCACGCTACCACTTAGCCACATCATCGGTCTTTTCTGATTTTAAGACAGGTTCACACTGAGTTGCCCAAGACTGGCCTCATCTTGGGATCCTCCTGCCTCAGTCTCCTGAGTATAAAAACATTTTTTATACTTCAAATTATGTATGGTAGTCTATATACCATGTCCTCCCTTCTGTGGTTTAGTTAMCTATAGTCAATGAGAATCTGAAAAAGTAAGAACAGAACAATAAGATATTTTGAGAGAAAGAGACCACTTTTATATAACTTTCATTATAGTATCTTATAGTAAATTATTCTATTCATTATCGTTAATCACTTACAGTGCCTAACATATGATCAAACTTAGCCAGACAAGGTGGCGCATCCCTGTAATCCCAGAGACTGGGGAGGCTGAGGCAAGAGGATCACAAGTTTAAAGCTAACCTCAGCAATTTAGTGAGGCACTTAGCAACTCAGTGAGACCTTGTCTCTAAATAAAATATTTAAGGGGCTGGGAATGTGGCTCAGTGATTAAATACCCCTGGATTTAATCCTCAGTTTAAAATTAAACAATAAATCAAACTTTATCATAGGTATGAATGTATAGGAAAAAATACAGTATTACATAATATTACATATAGGGTTTAGTACTCTGCAGCTTCAGGCACCCAGCAGGGCTCTTGGAACATTTCCCTTACAGATAAGAGAGGGACTACTTCATAGTACAAAGTTATAAATTATACCTAGGAGCTTTYTTGAGCAACATTTATATCTCTATTCTGGATCTGCCCACCAACTCCTGCAGCTAACCGTGGATTCTCAATTGGGATTGGTGATGTCACACCTGGCCAAGGACTACTGAAGGCCAAGTATGAGTTGCTGAATGCTGGCTATAAGAAATGTGATGAGTACATCGAAGCCCTGAACACAGGCAAGCTGCAGCAGCAGCCTGGCTGCACTGCCGAGGAGACTCTGGAGGTAAGAGCAGCCCTATGATTCGGATCAGCCACAGCATGCTCACCACAGCTGAAGGGATGTCTGCAGGACATGGGCAGGCAGCCATGCAGAGAAGGTATTAAGGAGCTGAAAGTAAGGATACAGCCTCCTGCGTCTTGGTCCTATGCTGGCCACGTGTATGCCCATTTGTTTACCAAGGGCAGGACCTTTGACCAAGTCCTTCACATCCCTTCCAGCTCCCGTGTTCCAGGTGGTGAGAACACAACCATCTGTTCATTCTGCCACACGGGGCTGCTCTTGTCTCAAGCTCACACTCACACCCCCTGTGACTGCCCATTAGTGCTTCTGCCCTCTCTGTTTTCAGCAACCTTCTGTAGAAACTGGCACCACAGCTCTGTGAATGGAAGGTCTTTAAAGAAACTTGGATACAGGATGGAAAGTTCACATCTGATAGTCACACAGCCAACCTGCTGCCCCCTCACATTTAAAGCCAGCTTAGCTGGAGGCTCAGTCAATGAGGCTCACTCCCTGGGAACTTGAAACTCTCTGAAGCAACCAGGTCAGCAGGCAGAAGACACCAGGGTTTTGCCTGACCCCTTCTACCCTTGGCCATGGCCTATGGTTCTGAGCTTTAATTCACCTCAGTGAGGAAGAAAGCCTCTTGAAACATAAAGAAGCTTTTTACTGAAATGTATTTTCTAAAGTAACGAAACCATAATTGTGTGAGGTATTCACACAAATCATTCTTAGTCTCACCAAGTCTTATAAAGACCAATAAGTTTATGTTTCTCACTGGCACCTACCTAGAAAATGACTTGAGGCCTCTGTCGGACCAATTTTAACAGAATCCTGTCTCCTAGCTGACTCAGCATCCTATGTTGTGAATTGAAGAGTGGCAACCTGGATGTGTTCATGGGCAAGAACATTTGGTAGAGTCACCTCATCCTAGGCTTAGCTCATGCAAATTCATGGTACATGGCATGAAAAGGTCGACAAATTGTATAAATTGTACAAGCAGTCCTCTTTAACAGACTTCCTATTTCGCTTTTATGTGGGGATATGTGTTTCCACATGGCTGTATATATATATACACAGGTATTTTGTTGTATGGGAACTGTATCCAAAGCCCTGTGTATTCTATATTTTATAGGCCATTTAAAGGATTTTTCAAGTTCGTTACTTTTTTTTTTTTTTTTTTTTTTGCCATATACACTGATTCCAGAACCTCATGGAAGATGCAGGTATTTATATAGCTAGGGTATTTTGGTCTTCTGAGGCACTGAAACCTTTATTAATTAGCCATCTGACATCTTGCCTAAGTATTCCCAAATTTCTTTAAACATCACAAAGAATATGTATAATCCACAAAGCCAATAGACACAACCCCCCATAAATCTGCTTTTCTCCCACCAGGCACTGATCCTGAAGGAGCTGTCTGTGATCCGTGACCATGCTGGAAGTGCCTGCCTCCGGGAGCTGGACAAGAGCAACAGTCCCCTCACCATGGCACTGTGTGGCTCCAAAGGTACGCAGGTCCCTCTTCAGAGCCTAACCTACTACCAGTGTGTTCTCCATGCAGGTGGCTGACTTGGTTCTGGAAAATATAACATCAGTATTTGTAGCTTCAAATGGATTCTTCATTTCTTTCTTTAAATGTATATATCTCTTTATTTTGTTTATTTATTTTTATGTGGTGCTGAGGATCGAACCCAGTGCCTCACATGTGCGAGGCAAGTGCTCTGCCACTGAGCCACAACCCCAGCCCGGGTTCTTCATTTCTTTAAGGGCCTACATTTTAGATCACAGATAGCTCCTTAATTCTATGAATTTTAGGAAGTTTAACTCTTTTGGAGGAACTGGATGGTAATGTGGGTAGATTTCTGGGTATGAAGAAAAACTTTGAGGAAACTTGATCTTTAAAGGGCCTGCATGCTGAGTCATGTTCCTGTCTCACCCCACTAAGCTGCTAACTCCTCACTAGAGAGCTAGGATTTTTTTTTTTTTTTTGTAGTTGGACATAGTGGTGCTGAGGATCAAACCCAGGGCCTCACACATGTTAGGCAAGCACTATACCACTGACTGAGCCATAACCCCAGCCCCCCCCCCCACCAGCTAGGAATTTTTTAATGATGTAACAAAACTCTTTAATTTCATAGTTACCCAGGCCCTTAAAACATTAGGTTTCATGGCACTGCATTCAAACTCGGAGCCTCCAGGCTGCTGTTTCTGTTTTTTTTGTTGTTGTTATTGTTTGTTTGCTTTTTAACCCAACTAAAATCTAATTTCATTTCTCTTTTACTTTGCTTCCTGTTATCCCATTGTTCTCTTTCTTTATGCTTCTTGTATATACCTGATGCTTTCCCATTCCTCCGTCTTTGCCTCTCACTCTTCCATTCACTTTGGAATTCTTCTTCCCCATTCTCTTTTGTGTCCAAACYATATGTCCTCAAAAGTCCAACTCCATGGCTGCTTCCTTCTTAAAGACTCGTCTCCCCAGCCTTCTCTCCAACCCAAGCATGCACTTGAGTCCTCTCACCCTCCAATCTCCTGACTGAGAGCCCCAACTTGTCTTAATGTAGTTCTGTCCTTTACTACCCCGGCGGCTCTGGCTTATTGAGGATAAGGGCCTGCATGCTGAGTCATGTTCCTGTCTTACCCCACTAAGCTCCCCACTCTTCAGTTAGCCATATTTCAGTAAGTGATGGATATTTCTGACCTGGTTCCCCAGGTTCCTTCATTAACATATCACAGATGATTGCCTGTGTGGGACAGCAAGCTATCAGTGGCTCCCGAGTGCCAGATGGCTTTGAAAACAGGTCCTTGCCTCACTTTGAAAAACACTCAAAGGTAAGCCTTAGTGGATCGAGTAGAACTTTCGAGTCCTGTTCATCTAGATTGTCTGAGGAACACAGACCTATTCATATAAAAGTCTGTTAGCCATTCTGTGCCATGTTTTGTATAGGTATATATATTTTTGCCATTATATTCACACATACCTCATGTATTATAAAATTTGTCACTAAATTGTGCAGTTCACCAACTGTTAGTATATTCACAAGTCATACCTATAGTCATAGTGTACTTTTGGAATATTTTCAGCATCCCAAAATGAAACTTCTTAAACAAGCAGAATATTTTCAGTGTCCCAAAATGAAACTTCGTAAACACGAGCAACATGTGGTTATGTTTTGGAGGTGGGCAGGTCTAGCCCACAGGAAGGATGTCTCAAGGTTCTCAACTGCTTGGGCTGCTACTTGAAAGCAGGCAGATAACAGCCCAAGCCAAGGCCTCCTTTTCCTGAACTTCTTGCCTGCTACTAGCACCTGTGCCAGCCCCATCTGGGACCTCACCCTCCTCGTATCTAGTAAGGATGGTCTGCCCAAATTATTTCTCTTTTAGGCAAGGGCATATGAAGCCTGCCAGTTCATGAAGTGCATTGGCCAAGTAGTTTTAGTCTAAAGGTGGAGCATTTTCTGATTTGAATGGATTTTAGAATTGTGACCCTTGAACTTTATTTCGTTTGATTTTTCTTTTTTTCTACCTCTCTTTAGCTCCCAGCTGCCAAAGGCTTTGTGGCTAATAGCTTTTATTCTGGTTTAACACCAACCGAGTTTTTCTTCCACACAATGGCCGGTCGGGAAGGTCTAGTCGACACAGCTGTAAAGACAGCTGAAACAGGATACATGCAGGTAACTTGAAGAAAGGTAGGCCATTAGCAACAGAACAGGACAAGGCCCTGCTGAGTGTGGATATGCTTTGCACATGAGCTATACTGTATCCAGTTTTAATATTAAAGGGAAAATTTTAGAAATGTAGGTGCTCTGGAAATAAAGAACAAAGAAAAGGTGGTACATTCCAAATTATCATGTATACCTTGGGGAATCAAGACCAGGCACGTTCCAAAGCTCCACTAGAGGGGGACCTGCTATGAGTGTTTTCCAGGACACTCTTATTCAACCTTCCAAGACTGTTTCCTAGCATGTGAAGGTGGGAATACATGCCTCCCACACAGAGGATTTTTCCACTTTGCAATTATGTATATCATTTCATCTTTTTGTTTTGTTTTGTAGCAGTGCTAGGGATTGAACCCACGGGTGCTCCACCACTAAGCTATACCTCCAGCCCACCAGACTTTTTTTTTTTTCCCACCAAGTTGTTTTTTTTTTTTTTTTTTTTTTCACCAAGTTGCCAAACTGACCTCCAGGTTATGATCCTCCTACCTCAGCTTCCCAAGCTGATGGGATTACAGGCATGTCATTATTAATATCAGGTTAATTGGCCCCAGTACCTATTCCAGAACCCACCAGAGGTCTTAGATACTTAACTGCTTATTCAGTGATGTACAGCTCTGGGCTACAGGGTAAAACTAAGAAATTATCTGTGCTTGGCTTCTCAAACTTTGCCACAAACATACTCTAAAATGGCTAAAGAGTGAAAGTTCATCTCGTCTGTATTCTTCCAGAAGACCACAGCAGTGGATTTATTTTCAGTGTCCTGTGATCATTTTTGTTCTCTACTCCATAACTTAACTATATTTGTTGGGGGAAAAAAATGTTTTTTTCAGTGCTGGGGATCAAATTCAGAGCCTGGATGTACTTGGCAAGCACTCTACTGCTGAGCTACAGCCTCAGCACCCCCAGAATTTTGAATATATTTAACTACTTAGAACACAATACCAGCAAAAGGCAACACTCCAAGCTTAGAGTGCTGGCACACACCTGTAATCTCAGCAATTTGGGAGGCTTAGGCAGAAGGATCACAAGTTCAAAACCAACCTCAACAATTTAGCAAGGCCCTAAGTAACTTAGCTGGACCCTGTCTCAAAACATTAAAAAAGGTCTGGGGATGTGGCTCTCACAAGCTGGGAGACCATGACCAATAAACTAGAGATTTCCACAGCCTCTCTGTACCTGTTTGTCATTATCTGGTACTCTTATTCATCTTCTACTGGGAAGCTGTCCTTCAGTTGGGGAGTGTGCTCCTGTCAAAAACCCAGCAGGCTGTGAAATGCTTTTCCACTCTTCCCATGGCATGTTTTGACTGTTTTTTGTCTTTACCTTTTTAAAGTAGACAGTGTGAYTTTCCCAGAGCAGTGTGTTAATCTAGAAGAAATTAGTTCTGGCACAATGAAATTTTGTTTTTCAAGTTGCCTGGAGGAGAATTTCTTTTTCTGATTCACAGAGCCACCATTACACTGCTATCTAGAGTATTCTGCTGGTGGAAGGTTCTCTCTAAGCAGATTTGAGAAATGGTTGCTGCCTGCTGGGTCAGACACAATGCTGTCCCTGTTCTCTTCTCTTTCCCCTCTGACCCAGAAGAGGGCCTGAGCCTGGTCCTCTGTAATTCATATTGAAGTCTGCAGGGGTCCTGGCTTAATGTTGTTTAAAAATGAAAAACCATTGCACTGATTTATACCTTAGGGAGAAGGAGGGGAAAGGCAAAACAGCTTTCTCAGAGTTCTTTGGGGGTAATGCAGTTTAATCTCAGGTTTTCTAAAATACAGAGTGGCTGGAGGTTGGAGTGTTCTGAATCACCACACAGGCCAGTGAGACTCTCTTGGTCTTGTTCTTGGAGTAAAAGGAAGCTTCAGGGGATTTCTAATATTGGTGTTTTTATGGGACTAAAGTACTCATGGTCATGAACTGGGCATGGGGTTCAGTGGCAGTGTCTTGCCAGCATGTACAAGGCCCTGGGTTCAGTTTCCTGCACTAAAAAAAAAAAAAGTAAAAAAAAAATAAGGGGCTTATGACCTTGAAACTTGGAGTTGCAGCTCTCATCCTCTGCACAAGTGACTGGTCTCCGAGCAGCTGAGCACTTCCTTCTTTTTCCTTCAGAGAAGGCTTGTCAAATCCCTTGAAGATCTTTGCTCCCAGTATGATTTGACAGTCCGAAGCTCCACCGGTGATATCATCCAGTTCATTTATGGGGGAGACGGCTTAGATCCTGCAGCTATGGAGGGGAAAGATGAACCTTTAGAGTTTAAAAGGGTCCTGGACAACATCAAAGTAAGACTTAGCATTATTTGGGGGGGCTAGAATGTTTCTGAGGATTTTTTTTTTTTCTAAGAATATAGGTACCATTTAGAATACCATAATTCATGCTTTAGTCATGTCTCCCTAAGCACTATATTAGTCTTTTCTTTTTGAGTTACACTACCTAATTTTTCAGTATTAAAAGAAAAAAAATATATGTTTTCATTTAAATATCTACTATTGGTAGTACTCAAGTGCCAACAGAAGAGGCTTTGGTTTCTCTCTGTCTAGGAGAGCATATAGAAACCAGTTTTATAAGTCAAGGCCATGGGAAAGCAGGCTCATTTCACATACATAGCTGAGGTAGAATTCCAAACCAGCTTCTTGGGAAGATAGCGAGACAATATTGATCTGAATTTGAATACTTGTGCTTTTTGACCCACTTATAGAAATTTGCCCTTAAAGAAACAGCCTAAATGTGCCAAGAATGTCTTTTCTAGGTGGTTTACAGGACAGGCGAGCCATCAGTAGAGGATAAGACAAGTACACAGTGCTCTAGCTACCCACACAGTAGAATAATATGCAGCCATTTAAAACTTGGGTAAATCCCATGGGCTTGGCAATGTTAGAGTATTTTTACTCTTGAAATGTTTGGTGTTTGTTTTTTGTTTTTAAGACCAATATCCATTTTAACGCAAATATGGGCTATGTTGAAGGTTGGGAAGTAATAGAACAACATTCCTAAATAGTGTGAAAGTCTTTGTGTAAGATAGAGTACGTATTTATCTGGTTCTCACCTTCTTATGAAAGGTAGAGTCCACTATTTGTTTCAGAAGAAAAATGACAAATGCAAAAAGCTCACTTTGGATAAAGTTACTTTATCTTCTAAATTCCTTTACATAATATTGCCCCGCTCCTCACTCCTGCAACATAATGCCATCTCATTCTGATATTTAGGCAGTCTTCCCATGTCAGAGTGAGCCTGCGCTCAGCAAAAACGAACTGACCCTGACCACGGAGTCCATCATGAAGAAGAGTGAGTTCCTCTGCTGCCAGGAGAGCTTCCTGCAGGTACGCTATGCCCTGTGCTGCCATCATACCCAGCTTGCTGGCATCAAGAAGTCTTGCCACGTGCTGGCCAGTGAATTGCGTAAGCTAGTGTTTTTATTTGTTTTCTAAGGTGATTGTTCTTTTACTAAGATGCTCAAAAATGGCCTAGCCAGCATGAAGAATTTATCACTAGCCAGCATGAAGAATTTTTCTCTTATCTTTCACAAAAACAGTTTACCATTAGAAGAAAAATACATCAGAGAACTGATTCTGAGCCCTGTCTCTGCCACCAGCCTACCATACTGCCCACCTTCTTCTCCTATGGACCATTCCTTTCCCCAGGCATCTGAATCCCAGTCATCCTTAGTGATAGCTGAGTTCTCTTCCTGTCATGTCCTTTAAATTGTTCTTTCTCATACTAATACGGATTAGAAATCCAGTGAGCTGGCCTTCCTCATTCTTCCCAGAGCTGGTACCTGGACACCCTCCTAGGGTCTTCTGTGTGAGTCGGTTGGTTTTTAGTTACACTGACCTGCTCCAGCAGTTCCTTCATATTTATAATCGTGGTTAGAATCAAAAGCAAAGGATAGAGAAATCAGTAAAATCAGTCTTTGTGTGCTGATTCTAGTTCCAACAGCACAGGATCAGCAGGCTAAGGAAGAGTGTATCTCTTTCAGTATATCAAAAGTCAAATGGAAAGCAAAGCTCATAGAAAAATACTTTGTAAAGGGAGTGCTGCACTTCTTCCCTCCTCCAGTGGACTCCAGGCTAAAAAGTGCCTCTTCCAGGTTTTCTTGTATTTAACATCCAATGCATAACTGGGCGTCTTTGTTTTGGTTTTTTTCCTCCAGATATTTGCTTCTTTCTTTCTTTCTTTTCCTTTTTTTTTTTTTTTTAAATTAGAATTGTAACTTGATTTTTCTTCATGCTTATGTTTACCTGTTTATTTTTCTTTTTACCCTTGAAGACCTTTACTGAGACAGGCTATGAGACATATAAGGAGGTAACTTGCTAGCACGGTGTGAATGCTGAGCATAACAGGTTAAATCTGGCTCTTTGCCATCATCGGAGAGAACATATTTGAGTCCCAGTTCTGGCAAACATGGGCTTCTCCTGGACCTGTTTCTTTCTTGCCTTTGACCAGGTGACCTTCTGACCAGCAGTATTTGTCTATTTAGACAGCACTGGTTTAGTCTGCACCGAATATCAGCTACACTGCAGATCTGGGGGTACAAACATGACTAAACATGTCCTTGCCTGCCAGTAGCTCTCAGTCTGATGAACTGAGATTTGCTGAGGGTCTAAAATCCTTTGACCGGAACAGATTTGCCTGAGTCGTGAAATATTCTCCAGCCCAGCCCATGCCAGAGCTGAGGCGGCAGAGCTGCTCCAGTGGCATCGGCCCTGCGTTCACCGCACTCTGTGCAGGGAGTGTAAGAGCTAACAACTGTTTAGTCTGTGATTAATTGCCTGCCAGTTGCCATGTTGTGACTCCCTCTAGCATGCTCAGGTTGATTCAGCTGGGTTCTTGGTAGCTTCTTTCGGTTTTCATTCCCACCAAGCGTTTGTCCTTTTAAAAAAAAAAAAAAAAAAAAACTAACTTCCCGATTACCTGCCCTAACCCCTGTGTATGGGAAATCCTTTGGTTCAGCAGAGCCACTGGAGCACATCCCCCTGGGTGGTGGCTGAACGATGTCATTCTGGTGCCTGCTGGGTGGTGCTTTCTTGCATGTGCTCTTTCACTCCTTATGTGTACAAAGCTCCTCACCACTGAAAACCCCTGAGTCTGTGTGGCCTTGGTTCTGGCTCCTGTTTCCCTACAACAGGTGAAGCAGCCTTTCACTCTCAGTGATGGAGTGGCCACATTTGGAGCAGTAGGGCTCAGTAACTGCCAGGCAAGTGGCAGGGGTGAAGATTACTAATATAAAGGAGGCTCTGTCCACTGAATTGTATCAAGGGAAAATTCAGTTTAGCCGTAAAATATCTTGAATATTGCCATGGTTGGCAGTGCCCCACCAGGAAAAGCTATTCTGCCCCCCTCCTCCCAGATAGTAACTGAAACTATCTGACAGTGTGGTCTCAGGCTCCTGATTAATGAGTGAGTCTAAAGCATTTCACTTTTAAAACAGCCTCTTGGATTTCCAAACTCTTGCTAGTTAGTAAGAGTCCTTTCTTCAGTAAAGGTTTTGTCTGCATAGAAGGATGGCAGAGCTGCCAGGTCACCCTCCACATGTCTCCTCACATTCCCAATGGAAAGAACGGGAGTTGGTCAGTTCAGGCAGTCACAAAAAAGCTGTGACCATAGGAAAGGGACAGCCCTGGTGCACTCCCTTGGCCACCTGGATTCCCAGAAGACAGACTGATTTTCTTACAGTGAGCAAAAGCAACATCACAGAAACCTCCACCCAGATAGCATACCTTGGAGAAAGCRTCTCACCTCATTCTGCCCTGAGTGCCCCCTGCTCTGGGGGATGGGCTAAGGCCATGCTACCTCACAGGCAGGTCTTGCAGGCCTGGCAGCAGCTGGTTAGCTGGTTAGAAAAGGCATGTAAACCATGGACCAATGGACACAGATGCAAATTTGTTTAAATGTAAGAACACAGCCAGGCACAATGGAGTGTGCCTGTAATTCCAGCTTCTAGGAGACTGAGGCAGGAGGATCACTTGTGGAGCTCAGATGATCCAAACTGGGTTAGGCAATATAGAAAGACCCTGTCTCAAAAGGAAAAAGAACATAAAGTAGATTCTAGTGTTCTACTTTCAGAAAAGTACCTACAGATTAGTAGGTAGTCCATGGAAAGCTAAAGAAGTTTATCATTACAGTGTTAAGATAGAGTGGGGCTAAGAAATAGAAAATTCTCTATAGGTGCTTTATAAGACTTTATTTTTGCAAAAGCAGGCTTCTGATTCAGTGTGCTTGAAAACATTTGTTTCAGTCTTAACATATCAGGTAGACTGAATAGACTTTGGGCAGGGAGGGCTGGCCTTCTCCCCAAGGTCAAGAAATAAGACCTCATGTAGCATTTTTCTATTCTTTTTTTTTTTTTAATTTTTTTGTAGTTATGGATGAACATCCCTAAATCAAAACAGGATAGCCATTGCCAGCTGTCAGGGCTGAGACTTAATGACCTAAAGGATTATTGCTAATGCATGATGTGTGCCTTCTGCTCAGCCTGGAAATGCTCTAAGAGCTGGTCCCCTAAACTTGGTGGCCCACAGTGAACGGGATGCTAACTGCTCCTCTGGTGATCCAAGAGAAATGCTGGCCACCTTGGTTTTTAGGAGAAATAATGGACTGGGAATCAGTAAACAGATAGGTGAGCTGGAGATATTGCTCAGTGCTACAGGGATTGCCTCGCATACATGAGGCCCTGGGTTCCATCCCCAGTACCGCAAAAATAAATAAATAAATGGATAGATAGATAGATAAACAAACAAACAAACAAACGAAACAGATAGGTTTTCCCCTTTGAGTAATTGCTAAAAAAAAAAAAAAAAAAACAGAGAGTGAGGTCTGTGGTCTCCAGCCCTGCTCTGTTAGCCACCCGCCATGAGGAACTCTTCATCTTCCTCCTTGCCCTGTGTTGTCATCCTGAGGCCTTGAGTGCTGGTGCAGAGCAGCGCAGACAGCACTTGGGTGTCATGTCTGGCCGAGAGCCGCTCCCAGGGGTTCTTGTGGAGTTCTGATTGTGAGTGGGAAAGGAGCATGGGACTGGGGGCAAGCAGCACGGTTGTGATGTGAAAGTGAGGGTCAGAGGGAGAGAGAAGTGGGGATGGGCAACAGTTTTGTGTGAAATGAAGGTGAGCCTGTTGGCGTGTGTTTGAAATGCACGTGCTGCCTACAAAACTGTGCTTTAGCTGGTGGTATTTAAATTGATCATCGGAGCTTCAGAAGAAACTCTCAAGAACCAAGAGTGTAGAAAAGAAAGCTATAAACAGTACAGTTATGCCTGTTCTGAGGGTGTGGATGTAGACCCTGTAGGATTCTGGAAGAGTGCAARTGTGAGCTCCCACATGCCGTGTGAGTGAGCCAAAGGCCACAGATGGCAGTTGAAGTAAAGAGACCTAAGTTAAGGTGGAGTGTGTCCAGGGTGTCGATGGCATGGGGTGATCCTTGGGAAAACACTTTGCAGTAGAACCAACCAGAATCCATACTGTAGCCTTTATACCATATATCTAGCTACTGCTAAAACAGGGTAATTCATATGTGAAGTTTATGAAATGAGTAATCTCCAGATTATTGAGAAACATACAACTGATGTTTGCTGTATAATTTTTCAGGAAATAAAAAAATTCATTAAAGGGGTTTCTGAGAGGATCAAGAAAACCAGAGATAAATATGGCATCAATGATAACGGCACAACAGAGGTAATGGCCTTCCCTGACAAGTTACGGCACAGATTTTTGCAGGTGCGCTGACCGTAACTGTGGTTTTTATTCTTCCAGCCCCGTGTACTATACCAGTTGGACCGGATCACCCCCACCCAGATAGAAAAGTTTCTGGAGACCTGTAGGGACAAGTATATGAGGTAGGGAGGCTAATTGTCTTAGGCCGCAGGCATCCACTGACATCTCTTTTGTCCCTTATGTTCCCCATGGGCACAAAATCCTGTACCAACACCACTTCCTTCCTACCAGGGTTAGAGCAGATTTGTCACCTATGATCTAGGAATTCCAGGGAGTCACTAGGCTGGAAACTCTCTGACCTGGAAGTAATTACAAAGAAATTTCCCAAGTGTCTTCTCCCCATGGATAAACTCCAAGAGATATGGCATGTGCTAGCTGCTCTGTCCACTGTCAGTGCCCTCAGTTAGCCTTTTTTTTTTTTTTTTGGCTCTGGGGATTGAACTCAGGGGCACTCCACCACTTACTGAGCCACGTCCCCAGCTCCATTTTATATTTTATTTAGAGACAGGGTCTCAGTGAGTTGCTTAGCGCCTCTCTTTTGCTGAAACTGGCTTCAAATGGCTTTGAACTCATGATCCTTCTGTCTCAGCCTCCCAAGCCACTGGGATTACAGGGGTGTGCCCTCTTTACAGAGGAGACCACTGAGATCTTCTCTAAGCAGTGGATGTTGGACCCGTTCATCCCATGCTGAGCACCAAAAGAATTTCATTGCTGTTTCTGGTCTGTGCTGGGTTTCTCCTCTGTCACAAACAGCCTGGCCCTTTACCAGTTCCTCTCTCACCTCAGTGGCATCTTTGTTTTCTTGAAAAGCAATAACTATGGGCATGGTGGCTCAGGCCTGTAATTCCATCAACTCTGGAGGCTGGGGCAGGAGATCAAAGCCAGCCTCAGCATCTTGGCGAGGTCCTAAACAACTCAGCAAGACCTTGTCTCTAAAATATCTTTTAAAAAGGCTGGGGATGTGGCTCAGTGGTTAAGGGGCCTGGGTTCAAACCCCAGTACTCCCCCCCACACACAAACACACACACACACACCAAGCAATAACTAGAAGCCTTTACCTAGTACTTTTGCTGGACTTCTCTTTATTACATTATGTTTTCATTCATACCTTTTCCTTCTAGGGCACAGATGGAGCCAGGCTCTGCAGTGGGTGCACTCTGTGCCCAGAGCATTGGTGAGCCAGGCACCCAGATGACCCTGAAGACTTTCCACTTTGCAGGTGTGGCCTCCATGAACATCACTCTGGGCGTGCCCCGCATCAAAGAGATCATCAACGCTTCCAAGGCCATCAGGTACCCGGCTCCCTGCCCTGTGTCTTGAGGAACAGTGATCCTTGTGTCCCACGCATACCTATGATGCTCTAATGAGACAGTGTCTCACACTCTGTAGCATGTTTTCTGTGTTGATTGTATTTTGGTGTGATTTTTTGGTGTGTGTGGTGGTGGGGATTGAACCTAGGGCCTTGTGCATGCAAGGYAAGCATGCCGCCAACTGAGCTATGTCGCCAGCCCCTTATTCTGGTGTTTTAAAAAGTCACTCCAGATGCAAKAGCACACAACTTTGTTCCCAGCTGCTTGGGGGGCTGAGGCAGGTGGATTGCTAATTCAAGAACTGCCTGGGCAACTTTAGCAAAGCTATCAAAAAATTAAAAAGGGCTGGGAATTTAGTTCAGTGCTAGAATGCCCCTGGTTTCAATCCCCAGTAATTAAAAAAAAAAAAAAAAAAATCCTGGATGCAGTCAAGTGGAAGCAGTTTTGTATTTTTTTTAAATAGCCATAAGTCACAAGAAAGAGAAAATGATAAAAAATTACCAGACAAATTGGAGATTTCATCCCTTTGATGCCATTCACTGCCTAAATAAAGCTGATGCCATATTCTGAGATGCCCCTCATGATTTTACGATGGAATCATAGGTAGTCTGAAACTAGAAGAAATTGAAATACATTACATTGCATTCGATGACCAAAATCACAATTTCATCTATAATCTAAATCTAACAAAACAGCAATAGCAATAAGTGAAAAATAGCTGTTCCTGGTTCTAGAACAGTGATCATGGATGTCCAGGGTGGTAAGAGCTCTACCTGCCCCTTGCGGCTGGTCAGATTAGTCCTAGGATTGTGTGTTCAGGAGAACACCATGGAAAACAGTGAGGACAGGAACTGATAGTCAGCAGTCAGAGAAGCAGGAGGTGGTCCTGGAGAGGGATGGAGGAAAATGAAGTACCTGAAGGGTCAATGTACTCACAGAAGAACTGAAATGACCACTTCTCAGGACCAAAGAGGAAGGGGCAGGGCTCTCTCTGTCTGGAAAATTTTTCTTAAAGTGTTGTCATTCACTGATGAAGTGGGTTGCCTGAGGTACTCCAAAAATAGTAAACCCAAATGAGAGTTCATTCAGCTTTTGTAGCATGTCTGACACCCAGAAAATGCTCAATAAATGGCAAGTATGGTCACAGGAGACTGTGAATAGCACTCAGATAGAGCAGAGCAGTGCTCCTCAGGCAGGCCCAGTCCTCGTGCAGTGATCGTTTTTCCTTCTCACAGCACTCCCATCATCACAGCACAGCTGGACCAAGATGATGACGCGGATTACGCCCGCCTAGTGAAGGGCAGGATTGAGAAAACCCTCTTGGGGGAGGTAAGAGATGCCTCTGGATAACAAGAAAAGGAGCCAGGCAGCACTGAGAGGGAACGCCAGCTGCAGGCCATGCTGTTCTAGCTCTGCCTAAGGAGCTGGKCGTGTGTGCTCTGGGAGGAGGGGAGTGATTGATGAAAGTTCTGCTGTCTCAACACCACAGATTTCCGAGTATATCGAAGAAGTGTTTCTTCCTGATGACTGCTTTATCCTTGTCAAGCTCTCCCTGGAACGGATTAGACTTCTGAGACTGGAAGTGAGTCACCTAATTAAATGCGTGGAGGAAGTCATGCTGTCAGCCCCAACACAGGTGCTGACAAACTAGGGCAAGGGCCATGCAAGACAGGAGGCAGTGCAGGGGCTTCAGTTTGGCTTCTATTGTTGGAGACCCCCATTGTACCATCCCATTTTCAGTCTTTCTAAGCTGACCCTGACACAGACATGGCCATCTGAAGATGAAAAGAAAACTAGTTGAGGCTTTGTGTAGGCCCCAGTGCCAGTTCACCATGACATACTGTGTTAGTCAGCCTTCTGTTACTGTAACAAATACTTGAGCTAATCAACTCATAAGGAGAAAAGGTGTATTTTGGCTCCTGGTTTTGGATAGCATGTGGCATTATGATAACTAGTCTCTGTGTCTTCCCAGTGTCTAGAAGGACTCTTGGGCCGGTGTGCCTTGCTCATCTGTTATCTCCATTACCCAGCACAGCACCTGGCTGCTTTGGTAGATGTCTTTAAATGGCTGGTTTAACCTGAGGTCTCATACTGGCATTTGCATGTAAATAATACAATGATCATCAGCCTTCTTCAGGGATATATGAAGACAGGGAGCCTACGGCAAACTTAGTAACTCCCTGGCACCTTCCTCTTTCCCTCAAGTGGTAAAGCATTTAAAACATTCTTTCAGTCCAGTGTCAAGTCAGATTCATGTGTTGCCCATATGACAGTTAGGTATGAAATTTAGCACTCAGTCTCCAATTTAGAGACTTCTCTTGCTCATCTATTGTTGCCTGTCTTGTGTCTCTTGAACCAGAAAAGCCAAGTTACTTCTAGGAGTGTAGCACAGGAACAACTGTGATGATAGGAGATATACGGGAGGTTCCGCTGAAGCTTTGAAGTCTCCTGGCCTCTGCTGACCTGCAACCTCCCCAGAGCATCCCACAGGGACTGCTGTCATGAACTGAACCAATATTGGTTCTTTTTTTTTTTTTCTTTCTTTCTTTTTAAATTTATTTATTTATTTTAGTTTTTCGGCACACACAACATCTTTGTATGTGGTGCTGAGGATCGAACCCAGGCCGAACGCATGGCAGGCGAGCGCGCTACTGCTTGAGCCACATCCCCAGCCCAAATATTGGTTCTTGAAGTGAAAAAGATTTCTTTTTTATGAGTAAAGCGGGGCTAGGGATGTAGCTCAGTTGGTAGACTGCTTGCCTTGCATGCACAGGGCCCTGGGTTCGATCCCCAGCACTGCAAAAGAAAAAAGAAAAACTGAGTAGAGCAGATAGACACATGTACATATCAGATACGCAGTGTATCTGTGGTATTAAAAAGTAATAAGGGGGCCATACACGGAGGCGCAGGCTTGTAATCTCAGTAGCTCAGGAGACTGAGGCAGGAAGATCATGAGTTCAGAGCCAGCCTCAGCAAAAGCAAGGCACTAAGCAACTCAGTGAGACCCTGTCTCTAAATAAAACAAAATAGGACTGGGGATGTGGCTCAGTGGTAGAGTGCCCCCAAGTTCAATCCCTGGTACCAAAAAAAAATGTTAATGGAGGAAAATGACTAAAAGCTTCTTGAGAGGCAGTAGTGAACTAGGGGTGGAATTACCAGAACGGAAGGTCTTAAGTTCCATTAGTAATGCCCACACCTGGGCCTTGCAGGTGAACGCTGAGACGGTGCGGTATTCCATTTGCACTTCCAAGCTCCGTGTGAAGCCTGGCGACGTGGCTGTTCACGGTGAGGCTGTGGTGTGTGTCACCCCTAGAGAGAACAGCAAGAGCTCCATGTACTATGTGCTGCAGTTCCTTAAGGAGGACCTCCCCAAGGTGAGGCCAGGTCGCTGCTTATGGGGAGACAGTTGGCTCCAGTGTGAATGCCCAGGGGTGGAACCCCAGACAGGACAGCGCTCCGTTTTCTCCTTAACATTGCCACACCAATCCTGCCCATCAGATTCCTTTTGTTCTGTCATAAAACTGATTATGGAAAGGGACATAGTTCTCTGAATTTGTTGGGGTATATATATGAATATGGTTTTATATATATTTTTATTTATATTTTTTATATATTTTATATATATACACATTTATTTATTAGTTGTTGATGTACCTTTATTTATTTATTCACATGCAGAGCTGAGGATTGAACCCAGTGCCTCACATATACTAGGCAAATGCTCTACCACTGAGCCACAACCCCAGTCCACCTGAATTTGTGTTTTTCTACCTGACCCCAGACAGCCCACAGACACTCTTGGGTTTAGAGTTACTGATGATAGCTGCTGGGAACTGGGGACAATCTAGAAAACCAGGGCATGACGAGCTTACCCTTACAGCCTCCTGGATTCTGAGGCTCTCAGGTTGGCCAGACCATGGGAGCTGTGGGATCTAGAGCCTCTGTGTCTCTGAATCCAGGTGGTAGTTCAGGGCATCCCAGAGGTATCCAGAGCTGTCATCCACATTGACGAGCAGAGCGGAAAGGAGAAGTACAAGCTTCTCGTGGAAGGTGACAACCTGCGGGCAGTCATGGCCACCCATGGTGTGAAAGGCACCCGGACCACCTCCAATAACACCTATGAGGTACCACTCAGCCCACCCCATCTCCTCAGGGTCAAGCTATCTCCCTGTGCTTCCTATAGGCCCTCAGCCAATTCCCAGCACACTTCCCCAGGCCCTCGAAATTTACTCTGGGCCTACCACTAAGAATTACCCAGCAATCCATTTTTGGGAAACAGCAGGGTTTGCTTTGAATTTTCTGAGCAGAGGAGGGGGTAGACAGAAGATTCAGTAGCGTCCAGAAGGGGCCTTCTCCACTCACCCCTTGCCATCCCTAGGTGGAGAAAACTCTAGGCATTGAGGCTGCCCGCACAACCATCATCAACGAAATCCAGTACACGATGGTTAACCATGGCATGAGCATCGACAGGAGGCACGTGATGCTGCTCAGCGACCTTATGACCTACAAGGTTTGTGGGAGGGGAAGCTGCAGGGCTGCCAGGGCGTCTGGAAACCCACTCATAGGAGAACAGAGCTTCGGTGCTTGCGAGGCATGTAGATATACTACTATGAGGACCATGCTAGAAAGAAAGGAAGATGCAGCTGTCACTCAAAAACCAAGGCTTGGTGATGGGGCCAGGTGTTCTGGTAAAGTCCCAACATGAGAATTGCAGTCTTAAGTTTTATCTTAAAGCAAAACTATCCATTGCCCAAAGCCCTGAGATTCCCATGCAAGCTGGGGTATTTGCACTCTATTATGCCTGTTCACCACACTTCTACAGCCACTTCCAGGCAGAGGATAAGTGTAGGTGATCTGAAGTGGAACACTGGGAGTGGCATGCTAAGGTTGGTTGGTTGGGTTTGTTTTGTTTTTTCTTTTCCCCCACAAAATGTATTCCACTAGCAGTGCTATAGGGCAGCAGTAAATGGAATTAAGTTTGTGACCTCCCCAAACACTCCTGTCTGTATTGCAGGCCCTCTGAAACCCAGTGAGAAACAGGGCCACCATGAAGGAAAGATCATCAGTTTTGTTTTGTTCTTGGGGGGCGGGCGGGGTACCAGGGATTGAACTCAAGAGCACTTGACCACTAAGCCACATCCCCAGCCCTATTTTGTTTTGTTTTGTTTTGTTTTAGAGACAGGGTTTCACTGAGTTTCTAACTGCCTCACTGTTGCTGAGGCTGGCTTTGAACTTTCAGTGCTCCTGCCTCAGTCTCCCTAGCCGCTGGGATTGTAGGCGTGTGCCACCAGGCCCAGCAACCATCAGTTTTAAGTCTTCTTTTCTAGTCTTACTTTGTTCGATTTTACTATATAAGTTCAAGTAGACAATGTGCACCGCTTTTATTCTGACTTTTAACTGAAACGTTTTCTGTATTGTTAAATAATATTTCTAAATATTCTTTTTTAATGATGGCACACCCATTTCTTTGATGGAAGTAACTAAATGGAATTAACATTTTTCCTACTTAAAGCTTTTAAATTCATTCTGTTTTTAGTTCTTTGGGCCATAATAAAGAAGCAAGACTCCCCCCCCCCTTTTTTTTAAGTTAGAGTCTCAATTCTTCATTATCTAGGTGGAGTGTAAGGCTCCATGTCACCAGTGACCAGTTGCCTCCTGTGATAGTAAGGCTAGACTGACAACCTCGGGCCTGCAGTTAGGACATGAACAGCTGTTGGGCTGATTTTTGTCAAAACTATTGAGGGGATGCACAGTACTTTGGTTTGGTGCTTTTGTGAGTAGCTTGAGAGCCCTCTGAATGTATCCACAATACAGGGTGAAGTTCTGGGTATCACCAGGTTTGGCCTGGCCAAGATGAAGGAGAGTGTGCTGATGCTGGCCTCTTTTGAGAAGACAGCTGACCATCTCTTTGACGCTGCCTACTTTGGACAGAAGGATTCTGTGTGCGGTAGGTTTGGTGTTTCTAGAAGCAGAATCAAAGGGTTTTATTGAGGCAGGCTCAGGAGCTCAAGCCTGTGATCCCAGCAACTCAAGAGGCCAAGGGAGGTTGAGGCTAGAGAACCCTATTTTTGGAGGTGGGGGAACTGGAGATTTAACTCTGGGACACTTTACCACTGAGCTGCATCCCCAGTCCTTTTTGCTTTTTTATTTTTATTTTTTATTTTTTTTTTAAACAGGGTGATTTTTTATTTTTCTTTTTTAAAGAGAGAGAGAGAGAATTTTAATATTTATTTTTTAGTTTTCGGCGGACACAACATCTTTATTTTATTTTTATGTGGTGCTAAGAATCGAACCTGGGCCGCACGCATGCCAGGTGAGCGCCCTACCGCTTGAGCCACATCCCCAGCCCCTTTGCTTTTTTATTTTGAGACAGGTTCTCATTAAGTTGCTTGGGGTCTCACTAAGTTTCTGAGGCTGGCCTCAAACTTGCAATTTTCCTGCTTTAGCCTCCTGAGTCACTGAGATTATAGGTATACACCACTATGCCCAGTGAGGATCACATCTTTGACGCTAGCTTGGGCAACTTAGCAAGACCTTGTCCCAAAGTAAAATTAAAAGGGCAGGGGATGTAAGTCAAAGATAAAGCGTGCTTGCCTAGCATGCACAAGACCCTGGGTTTCAACCCCAGTACTATCAAAACAAAAAGAAGGTGGCGGCATTTACTATTTACAGGTTAGCCCATGGTTAGGGCTTCTTAAGGGTTGAATTGAAAACACTGAGCAGGCAGTGCCTTTATTTTTTATGTTTTTTTTTGTTTTGTTTTTGTTTTGTTTTTAGTTGTCGATGGACCTTTTTTTTTTTATTTATATACAGTTCTGAGAATTAAACCCAGCTCCTTATACATGCTAGACAAGTGCTCTACCACTGAGCTACAATTCTATCCCTAGAGCTTTTATTTTCAAGAATAAAGGCAGAGATTACAGAATTAGAACTAGTCAGTCTCTTGTCTCCAAAGCCTGACTATAGCACCCTGTTCTCTCCCACGCCCTCTCTAAGAAGGCTATCTATCCTCTATAGATACAGGTAGTTTTATGACCAGGAAGAAAAGATCAACCCTAAGTGTTTTGGAATTTTTTTTAGCTATTGAAGTAGTCTGCTGTGTTGATCCTGCACCCAGTGTGTCAACAGGGCAATAGCACGGCCCCCTCAGCACCAGCGGGGTGGTCCCACTGTCCTGTCTTCTTGGGAAGCAGCTGGTGTTCCATTTCCATTGTGAAGCCCTTGTACCAGGCACCAAGTGTGCTGAGCCTCTCAGCCCACCTGGGAGGTCACCTTTAACAATGAGACCGAGGGCAACCAAACTTGCTTGCCAGCTCGACCTGCACTGCACTAAGCTTTGTGCTCCCCACACCACAAAGTGTCCCTGCAGGTGTCCTGGCCTAGGAACAAGGGAGTGCTCAACAGTGTTTTTAAGACCACCTCTGTCCCTGAGTCAGCACTGAGTCCTGGGCCTTTCTGTAGCCTTCCTTAGTCCACAGGAAGACTCTGTGGGCCCAAGGGGGGCATTGGTGCAGGGCTGGGCTTGGAATGTTCAGCAACCTGCCCCAAGTTCTCCCCCAGTTAGATCCAAGCAGGTTGCAAGCCTGATTGCCATGCCCAAGCCAGAGCTCTGCTTCCTGGTAGCCATTTCCTGTCACAATTCCTATTCTTGTGTGGATTTGTTAAATAGAGAATGGCTAGGTAGGGCTTCATTCAGAACATTCACTTATTTTTTACCCTTTTCTCCTTTTAAAAGCTACATGGGGTCTGGGGTATATCTCAGAGGTAAAGCATTTGCCTAATGTTCAAGAAGCCCTGGGTTTGATCCCCATCACAAATAAAGGTGGGGGGAGGCACAAATTGGAGAGGAAGAGGAAAAGAAATTACACAGTTCTTCAAGTTAAAGAAGGGTGAGAGGAAAGAAAAAAGAAGCACTGATTGATGTGGTGGGGTGAGAGGAAGGTAGAGGAGAACAGGAGGCCAAGGCTGTAAGCAAAAGGAGAGCAAGTCTGCTGACATGGACTGCAACCCAGCAACCCACCCCTGACCCCCAGGAAGCTGGGCTTGACTGTCCTACCTCCTCCTGCTGCCTCTCCACCACCACCCAACCCTTTGTAATCCAGCACAGCCACCCACCCCACTTTGAAAAATTTCCTTTCCTCCTGGTCCTTTAGCACACTGAAAGCCAGGTTAGCCCTCAGTATGTGTTTTTGTTTGGTTGTTTGCTTGTCTGGTTCCTTGTTGTCATGAAGCACGGAGCAGAGTAGCCACTTACATGCTTTAGAAGCCTGATGCAAAGCCAGAATTTGCTTTCTAAAAAGCCAAACTAGAGCTTATACGGAGACTGCACCGCCCCTCACTCGTGGAATTCTGCAGGAGCTTTCCAAGGGTCTCTCTTCCAGGCTTGGGCAGCTGGTAAGCTTCGCCCAGCCCCTTCCTCTGAGCATAACTGACAGCTGCCTGCTACAGTTTCCAAGGGCATTGACATCTGCTCACTGCCATCCCAGTTGTTTGCTTCTTTCCAGGACCTAAGCTACAGATGCTGTGGGTGGCAAACTCAGTTTCCCAAGCATTATTCAGTACCCTAGCTGTCTAGGTTATGTTCTCAATGGCAGAGGCTACAGGATGCCTTGGCTCATCTGGAAGAGAACTAGCTGAATATATTTTAGTTTCCAAACAGTCTGCTGGGCCCTGAGCAGACAGTGTCCCTCCCTGAGGGTACAAAAGTCCCTCCACCTTCCCAGGCACACAGTACCAGGCCACTGCTTCAGAGCCATCCCTCTTTTATAGATGAGAAGGAAAGTGATTTTCCAAGTTCAACCAATTGATGTGCTATGGAGCTAGAACTCAGATTCTAGTTTTCTAGTGCCTAATTCAAGAGACTGTTCCTCCTGAAAACCCACCTTTGTGTTGAGAGTTTTCTGATCTCAATTCTGCTTGGTTCCAGGGGTGTCCGAGTGCATCATCATGGGAATCCCAATGAACATTGGAACTGGGCTCTTCAAGCTGCTCCACAAAGCCGACAGGGACCCAAACCCTCCTAGGAGGCCTCTGATCTTCGACACAAATGAATTCCATATCCCTCTTGTCACATAGTCTGGGAAAGAGGGGAGCTTCTCACATCTCAGCTCCTTGTGCCGTCTGCAGGTGGCCTAAAGAGACCTGTGCCAGTGGTCAGAGGGGGCCCTGACATCTCCAGGAGCCGCTCACCCTCTAATACAGGACAGCCCATACCTGACTGCTCTGGGGCACTGAGAGCTGGATTGTTGGTTATCAGCACCTCCTACCACCCTCCCTCCCTGGACTTAAGAAGAGGCACAGCCAGGAATCACTGCCCATCCTCCTCACTGCATAGCCTCCACCAGCTCCCAGGTGTCTTCACGCCTGACTGTGAGCCAGGTCTGAGGTCCCACGCAGGCCAGGGCACGTTCCTGTTTCTTCTACTTGTTCATTCTGGAACCTCTCAATGTGGCATACACATGTAAATATTATTACTATTATTTATTTGCTCCATTTGAGGGATTTGGAATTTTTGTTTTTGTTTTGTTTTGTTTTTGAAACCAAGAAGCTATAGAAACCAAGGAAGTATTAAAGTGACACTGGAAAAGCTCATTAAGCAAATAGGAACATCCAGAATTGGTAACTGAGCGGAGACTGTTGAGAGGCCCACCCAAGCACCTCTGAATTGTTGTCTTTAAAATGCTGTGTCTATCTTGTTGTTTTCCTCTACCTCTGACCCATAGTGGGGCCCTACCTTGTTTCAAAAGCCAAAGCTATTCTCCATGTCCTATAGAAGCCTCCATAAAGCTAAGAGCCTCTTGAGGTGGGGACCTGGCAGTATCCACAGAGATGATACACAGCTGGCTAGGCTGCCAGCGCTGCCTTCTGCTGACATCCACACCCCTCCTGAGGTGTCTCCCTGTCTGTCCCACATCCCAGAACTGAAGGGTGCAGGGCTGGTGCAGAACCGATGGCCTATAAAGTACCCCAGGGGCAGTGGTAGGAGAGGAGTGCTCTTGCTCACAGGCAGGCACCAGCCAAGACAGGATAGGAGGTGGCCCCACGTAGGGGGTGAGCATTAGCTGGAGCTGGGGATGTGCCCCAGCTGGCAACACAGTTCCCTTGAAGAGTATAAATCTCCTGGGACAATAGAAAGCAGACACTGAGGCTGTCAGAAGAAAACCAGCCTGGTGTCCTGGGCTTACTCAGGCTGCTGCCTGGTGCCAGCACCATTGCTGGAGGTCTGTCAGGGATTTGGAAGAGGTTTCACGCAACATAGGAAAGAAATGCAAGTAGCTCATCTTCTAAGAGGGGGTTTGCTCCTGGGGACAATGTGTTCTTTGTGCTGAATTTGCTCAGTCGGACTGGCTCAGAGCCAGGGATAAGTGGCAATGGCTGCAGTTCCCCTACCCCTGAAGAGCGTTCTGTGGGGCTTGTCCCCCCACTTCCCTGCCCAGATGAGTCACATTGTTCTGGCTCTTCTTTGCCCAGGGAGTGAGATGACCAGAAAGCAGGGATTTGACACTATTTTCTTGCTCCAGTCACTCCTAAAGGTCTGCTGCTGCAGTGACAGCAGGTTCAACTGTCTCCGCTCTCCAATAGACAGCAGCCCAAACTGAAGGGACAGGAGGTTATTGTTTGAGTGATTAAAAAGATGGATGTGGTAAAAGAGGACACCAAAAGAATTGAAGCAGTATTTTCTAGAACTGTGCTTAAGTGCTTTGGATGTCCCTTTGTTGATTTCCCAAGTTCTGAGTTAATGCTGCTAAGGGATTCAGTGTTGCTGTTAGTTTTTGGATCAAAGGTAGAATCCGTGATTTCTTTCCCATACTGATGAGGTTCCTAAGTTAGCAATTCTTGACCCGAGTTGTTTTTAGAATTCCATTAAAATTTGTAGCTTGGCCTTATGTTTTGTCTGCATCCATTAGGCTGACCTGTGACCTTCTCTCAAGGTATCAAATGATGGGGGAAATGCCTTTTTTCTTAATATTCGCCCCCATCCCTCCCTTTACAACAACTAAGGCTGTGAACAGTTGCTGACTCAGGGTTTCCACTCAGCACCTCACTGAGGCACTGCTCCTCACGTAACCCAAGGAGGGCCACAGGGACCCCACGTGTACATGCAACTGCCTTCTTGAAAACTTGCCTTGGAAGTAAGCCACAGGCCTGATCCAATCCAAGAGCCCTGGAGGACACAGCATGGCCAGGGAGGGAAAGCCAGGCCTGCTGTCCTGCAGCCTAACGTATTACTACAGGGCCTGACTGGGGGAGCACTCCGGTGTACGCTGACAGGTTGGTGGGAGACATAAGTGACCTATGGGTGCAGATCGACCCACATCACCCTGGGATCCAGCCAGGTGTGGGGCAGTCACCCAGTGAGAAGCCACATGCCCAGAGGACACTGCCCCCTCCTGGTACCACCACAGCATCAACACCGGCAGCATTCTCTGCTCCCCACTGTTCTGTGACAGTGTTAAAATTTGCCCTTGTGATCATCCTTCTGCCCTGGCATTGGCTTTCTGCCAGCAGACTGGAGACATGGTAGCAGGATTCTCAATAGTGATCTCAGGAAAGGGTTTGGATGTTACTCTCTGGACCTCTTTGGAAGAAATAAGAAAACATTTTGTTTCAACTCATCCATGAGCAGTTCTCTTTCTGACTATAGAGGTCTGCCCGGCCCTTTCCGTTTACATCTTGTGGACCAGGGGGATTAAGATAGCTCTTGACTTGATTATAGCCCCCTGCTTTGTCAGCACTTCGTGGGTAGGAGAGACATTCTGGAGTCTTTCTGTGTCTGTCAGTTAAATTATGGTGCTGTGTTTCTATTTAAGGATTTATCCATGTGTATTCACATTGATTCATGTCTGATTGAACCTGACACCGTATAATGATTATTTTTCTTGAATTTTTGCTGTCTCTTGGCAGACCTCTTTATTTTTATACCAAAATGCAAGAGGAGAACCTTGCTGTATGTAAAACTATAGCAGTGTCATCCTTGTGGGTTTTGAAACAGGGCAATTGAGACTTGTATGAGCTCGGGCTCCTGAAATAGGAAATATCCCCTGCCACAAGCGCATCTCTCTGGGTGCTTGAACACYACCATGAGTGCCCCACCCTCCCTGCCTCTGAGATTTAGGAAGGTGAGGGATGAAGTCAGCCCTGTGTTGAAGCTAATGCAGCAGGAGACAGTGGAAGAAGGTCTCCAAAGCTGCCACACTGGAAGTGCCCCCTGGCCAGGAAAAGGTTCCTGACTTAACTGTTCTTTCATTCATTCAATGAAGATTTAGGGCCTGCAATACCTAAGGCACCCATCTAGGAATTAGGGTTGCAGCAGTAAACAGGCCAATTCGATTTTTCTTTTTTTGAGACAGGGTCTCTAGGTTTCCAAAACTGGCGTTGAACTGGGGGTACTCCTACCTCAGCCTCCCGAGTCACTGGACTTGGACTTACAGGTACCACCCTGCCCAGCTGCAGATATTTATGCATCTATAAAGAATCCAATAGAAAGGATGGAGCAAAGAGGGTCAGGACCAAATTTGGCCAGCATGCCCAGCACTCTTGAGGCAAGCAGCAGCACCCAGGGCCTGTCACACACAGCACATGAGCAAAGGAAAGCTTGCTGTGACTGGCTGGTCCTCCKGTTCCAACCCCTCCTGACAGGTCCTCTGATGGGCCTCCTTCTCTAGGAGGAAATCTGTGGATTCCAGAAGCTGTGCCCTGAGAAGAGGACACAAGTCTCATAACTGGGAAGGACATTGCCATCCTCCCCAGACCCTCCAGTCTGTTTACAGTATATGAACGTGTAAATGTTTAGGCCCAAGAAAACTTGCTAAGTGTCATCAGAGTGTCAGGTTTCAAATCCCCACCCTCATCGCCATTTTCTACCTGCTGACTTTGGACAAATGACTTTGCCTCTTTGCCTCACTTTACTCATTTATGAGACAGGGATGCCATTTAGTGTTGTCCAGCTCTAGGGTTACTGTGAGGGTGGTTTAAAAGTGACTGCACCTAAAGCTCTTAGTACAATGCCTTGCACATAGTACATAGTAAGTGTTCACAACTGTGGTAACCATTACTATTTTTACTAAAAAAAAATTAATTTGCAGCTAAGTACCAACTCTCTGGCCCTTTCATTTTGGGTATTTTGCAGTGCTGGGGATTGGATCCAGGGCTGCTCTACTGCTGAATTGTTTTTATTTTGAGACAGGAGTCTCATTAAGTTGCCATGGCTAGCCTCAAACTTGTGGTCCTCCTGCCTCAGCCCCTTGAGGATTAGCTTGGATTACAGGTGTGTGCCACCAAGCCTGGTTCCTCTGTTCTTAATTTACCCAGATGGGGTTCTTTGTAGCCTTGGAAATCTGGCCTCCCTACACATGACATCTGCCCCACTGTTCAGTCAGTAGATCTAGGAAGTGTTGTACTAGTCTCTCATTGGGCTAGGGAAGGGGACCAACCAGAGTCACATGGCCAAGGGCTTAAATAATTTCATTTGGGCCATAAAAATTGATTGTGCTCTTATGAGGGTAAGAGCAGAATAATCCAGACATTTTTTATAGGGAAATTTGGGTGTGACTGTTAGATTTATGATAAAACACAATGTCCTGTGACCTTTTTTCCATTCAAGAGAGGGTACCATTTTAAAGTCATTAACAGAGAATATAGTAAACTGGGAATGCTGGATGCCTCTGGGGACAAAAACTGGGTAACTGAAGGACAGAGGTAGCAGGCGACTTATTTTTCACTCTGCATTCTCTTGTACCTTTCTGACTCTGTAGCTTCTGGAGGTCTTGTTTTTTGTTTGTTTTGTTTTTTGTTTTGTTTTGTTTACATCAGTACCTAATGGTAAAGAAATTGAGTCATATTGGAGCAGCACTTGTTCAGGAAGTTACTGGAGTGTTCTGCTCTGGGAGTAATTGAGTCTTTCCTTCCAAGGATAACAAGAGAAAGGCAGAGGCACCAGCCAGGCACAGTGGCACATGCCTGCAGTCCCAGTGGCTCAGGAGCTCAAGGCAGGAGGATCATGAGTTCAAAGCTAGCCTCAGCAAAAGCAAGATGCTAAGCAACTCAGCAAGACCCTGTCTCTAAATAAAATACAAAAAAGGGTTGGGAATGTGGCTCAATGGTGGAGTGCCCCTGAGTTCAAAAGCATGAGGCACCAGCTAATCAGGTGGGAGGTTGCTGTCATTGGTTAGGACAGGGTGACCAAAACTGCAGATTGACACAGCCCTGGATGCTAAGATTTTCTTTCCTGTCAAAAATTCCCAAGTGAGCCAAGCATGGTGCCACACACCTAAAATCCTAGCCACTTGGGAGGCTGAGGCAGGAAAATCACAAGTTCAAGACCAGCCTCAGCAACTTAGTAAGGCCCTAAACAACTTAGTGAGACACTGGGGATGTGGCTCAAGTGGTAGCAGGCTCGCCTAGCATGCGTGAGGCCCTGGGTTCAATTCTCAGCACCACATAAAAATAAAATAAAAGAAGAATATTGTGTCCAACTAAAAAACTAAAAAAATAAATAAATTTTTAAAAATTAAAAAAAATTTAAAAGGCTGGGAATGCAGCTCAGTGGTTAATCTCCAGTTTCAAAAAAATGAAACAAGTGAGCGTTTCGGTGATCAAGACAGTGGTTTCAGAGTTGCCAGGAAGGGACCTTAGGCCCCCAGCCTTCTACTCCACAGTGCCTTAGGTATGGCCCCATCCTCATTTCTCTAAGGTGCCTGCTCCAGCTCCAGGCCCTCCAGCCAGAAGAAATAGGGAAAGAGGCCTGGCACTGCCCTTTAAGGAAAGTTCCCCAAAGTCACTTGACACTTCTGTTTACATCCCCTCAGCCAGAACCTAGCCAAACCCAGCTCGAGGGAGGCTGGAAAATGTTTGGACTCTGGGTGGCCATGTGCCTCGCTAAAAATAGGGGCCTCTGTTAGCAAAGAAACAGGAGGGACAGGAAGTGGGAGAGGATCGTATCTCTGCCTGTGGTGTATCAGGATCTTTTTCCCATTTGGGCTCAACAAAGTTCAGAATATTCTCCTAAACTCCTCAGATGGAGTACTGCTGGGGTAGGGTGAGACCAGGGACTTCTCCCCCCACCCCCCCACAAAAAAAAAAAGAAATGCAGAACTAAGACCCTGACTTCTTCACTTTCCCTTTTCCTTTCTTGAAAATGTTATGCCTGAGTTATATATATAAACAATGATATTTAAATTAGATCATATTCCCTTAGCAGTATCAGGCAGTTCAGAATGGTCCTGAACTGATGGAAAATGTGACTGTCAAACATTCGTTCCAAAATAACATGACTGCCAAACTACTACATCTGAACTCCAATGCTGGGTCACGGGCATAGAATGATACATAAAGTTGTTTTCTTCATTTTTCTTTTTCTTTTGGTAGCAGGGATTAAACCCAGGGGCGCTTAACCACTGAGTCCCAGCCCAGTATGTCGCTAAGTTGCCAAGGCTGGCTTTGAACTTCTGATCCTCCTGCCTCAGCCTCCCAAGCTGCTGGGATTCCAGATGTGCACTATCACATCTGGCTTCCAGTTTATTTGTAATGTAGTTCTCTATTATTGTTGAGCAATTATTGACTAATTTAATACTAGATTTAATTCCATAAGGAAAGCGACCATGCAAAAAAAAGGAAAAAATAAGTAAACTGGAGAAATTAATTTCAACTTTTTTATTTAAAACCAACATGTCCAAAATATTTCAGCATGTCATCAGCATAAAACATAAAATTGAGAAGTTTTAACATGCTTCCTGCTGTTTTGGAAATCCAGCATGTTTTACACCTCAGGCTTCAAGTACTCGATGCATACAGCCTGAGGTCGGCCATTCAGCTCCTTCACTTGCTACCCTAGCAAATTTCCAGCAAGTGCCTTTTGGAGCTTCAACCTGCCAGAAGTCATTTTCTGTTGCCTGTTAACCTGGCCTAAAATCCAAGGTCTATTTGAAAGTGGGAAATCCATACTCAGAAAAGGCAAAGAGAGCCCCTTGTGGGAAGACCCGAACCTCACCACCTCCTTAGAAAGATTTCTCGGCTTCCCAGGCCTTGAGGCTTGTGCTTCTCAACCTTTCTGGAAGAGCCCCTGATGAGCTGGKGAAGTCAGGAGTTAGAAGAATGGTGTTCCTGTGCCCTCTGTCTATCCTTCCAGTAAACAGGCCTGACCGATTCTTTTGTCACACATGTCAGGCATGAGTAGACTGTGATAAAGTTCCAAGTCAAGGGAGCATGACATCAACCGAGGTTGACATTAAAAATAACAGCAACCAAACTCTCCCCAGATAGACTATACTGGTCTCCCAGGTGTACAAGTAACTCATTCAGTCTTCTGTGACATAGTGCCTAGGGTAGGCAAGAGTTTGCAGACTGGGTGATAAATCCTCTGGTCTAGCAGAAATGGACCTGGGCTAAGATGCGTGAGACTCAAGTTCTAGTCCTCACTGGGCTGCCCATGAGCAGCATTGCCTTAGGTATGCTGCCTCTGTTCTTCTGTGACTCAGTTTCCCAATCTGTAAATGGAGATTAGACTTGCAGCTGTGTCCATTGACTTCCAAGCATCTTGTGAGGCATCCAGGCTGGAAGGGATTTGTGTGTGGCCTAGCTGTGCTGCCACACAAGTGGATGGAACTGGTAGCTGCTCATAGAGTAAGTCTCAGCCAGATCCTCACTCGCACTTGACACTCCTCCCTTTGAGGAACTGTCCTGAGACCTGGAGCTGAGCCCCGTGACTCTGCCCAGAGACCCTCATCCCAGGTGTCAGCAGGAGCTGCAGCTGATCCTGGCATTCC